TTGAGCTATACTTTTCTCATTCTTGAAGCTCGCTACTTGATCATTAACCGAGGAATATTCCTTAGTTAATTTCTCAATTGAGTCATTGGCTAAAGACAATTCTACGGTTAACTTCTCAACCTTCATCTTTTCCTCGGTGATAGATGCTTCAAGTGCAAGGTTTTTCTCTCTCTCTCTTGAGTGATTATATCTCCTTGCATCTATAAGCATCTATCCCTCTTCTCTAATTTCTTCATTAGTGTTTTTATTTTAGTGAAGGCCTTTTTACCAAATTTCTTTACCATGGTTGCTTCAATTTCTTCTATATTCTCATCACAACTATCATACGCATCACTAGAGGGATCGGGTGTAGCATGTACCTTCTCCCCCTTAGCCATGAGGCAAGTTGGAGTGTAGTAGTTGTTGTCGATGAGGTTGGAGAAGAGCTTCGGTGGTGAAGATAGGTTGGGGAAGAGTTTTGGTGATGAAGTTGAGTCGGGGAAGATCTTGGTCGGTGAAGAAGAGTGGTGGATGGCGATGTTTGCGGTTCCCTTCTTCTTTTCATCATCACTTGAGTCGCTATCATTTGACTCCCATTCTTCCTCAAGATGAGCTTCACCTCTCTTCTTGCATTTGTTCTTCTTGTCTTCATCCCTGTCATGCTTGTGCTTCTTCTTCTCATTAGGACAATCGGCTATGAAGTGACCGGTTTGACCACATCCATAGCAAAATCTCTTTTTGAACCTTCTCTTCCCATCACCATAGGTCTTGCGGTTGCTCTTCTTCTTCATAAACTTTCTAAGATTTCTAATCATAAATGCAACCTCCGCATCGAAATCTTCTTCTTCACTTGAGGAATCATCCTTCACTTTCTTCTTCTTCATAAACTTTCTAAGATTTCTAATCACAAATGCAACCTCCGCATCGGAATCTTCTTCTTCACTTGAGGAATCATCCTTCACTTTCTTCTTCTTCTCTTGACTTAAACCTTGACCTTCTTGTTGTTGAGTTGCTTTAAGGGCTGCACTCTTGTTGTATCCTATTGCATTAGGATTTTGATTGTGAGCATTGATTGTATCTTCATCTAGACACTCATGATGCTTGAGTTTTGAAAGAACTTCTTGGGGTGTCATCTCATCATAACCGGGTCTTTCCATGATCATGGACGCTAGCATGTTGTTCTTGGCTCTATAGGTTCTCAATATCTTTCTAGCAACCTTGTTGTCATCCCATTCGGTGCTTCCAAGAGCTCTTATGCGGTTGACCAATGCCATAAGCCTATCAAATATGGATTGTGTTGTTTCATTTTGCAAGAACACAAATCTTTCTAATTCACCATGAAGTAACTCAATGTTGCCTTTTTTCACACTCCTATCTCCTTCAAATGACACTTTCAAAGTATCCCAAATTTGTTTTGCACTCTCCATTCCATTCACTTTTCTAAACTCATCTGGAGCTAGGCTTGACACAAACAATGCTACGACTTGCGCATTTTGATGGAGATTGTGCACTTCTTTTGGAGTTATCTCTCTATCTTCATCGGTAGGAATCATCACACCAACATCCACAACTTCCTAAAGTCTTGCGGCAATGAGATGCATCTTCATCTTATAAGACCAATCGGTGTATCTTGTTCCATCAAAGTGAGGTGGCTTGCCAATGTTGACGGAAGGAGTATGTAGAGGTGAACCTTTAATAAGTTGTCCATAGTCAAAGCCCATGTTTGAATATATTCCCTTTCCATGAGCACGCTCACCGGCTCTAATATCACTAGCGGCATCTTTGTTTGCTTCATTCTTGTCATTTGTTGTATCATTTTTGCCACTTATTGCATCATCAACCTTCTTGCTCAATTCTTCCTTCATCTTGCTCATCTCATCTTGCATCTTCTTCATTTCATCTTGGAAAAACTTGACTTGAGCACCCATCAACTCTTTAGCTATTTTCTTGGCCATCTCGGCGGCAACGGCTTGCATCTTGTTGGACTCCGACATTGTTTCTTCTCACGTGGTGAAGCACTAAAAGAAGACCTTGCTCTGATACCAATTGAAAGAATCTAACAATGCCTAGAGGGGGATGAATAAGTGTATCTAAAAATTAACTACAAATGCTAAGTTTAAATTTGTTAGTCAATATCGGAAGTCCCGGTGTTTGGGTCGGAACTCCCGACGTCGTCAGAAGTTCCAGCGCAAACGTCAGCAGTCCCGACGCCTACGTGAACTACAAAAGCAGTGCCAAAATTTAACTTTGCGGATAAATAATCTTACAACCCCACTTCCTAGTGGTTTGGTGAAGATATTGGATCACTCTCTTGATGCCGTAATGCTTCCAAACCGTAGATCGAGTCCAAACCCTAAAATGAAGTTAGAGAGAGAGAGAAAAAAAAAATACAAGTAATCTCTAGCGATCACAACAACAAGCACACGGGACACAAGATTTATCCTGAGGTTTGGCAACCCCACAAAGGAGCTCCTACGTCCTTGTTGTTGAGGTGACCACAAAGGTTAGAGTCTATTCCACCTCCTTGCCTCTCTCAAAGTGACCATAAAGTTCACTTGAGCTTTCCACTAAGAAATCAAGGGTAATACAAACTTTCCAAGGCTCTTCCATAAGATGGAAGCTCTTGGGCAACGCCTAGCCGGCTAGGGGCAAAGCCCCAAGAGTAATAGACGCAAAATCAACTGGCTTGACGAAGAAATCAAGTGCTCAAGCTTGCCAGAGCTATTCTCTCACTTAATCCACTCTCCTTTCACTCAAAACCCTAGGGGAATAGAAGATTGGAGCAAAGGAGGGAGGAGAGGGGTGCTCTTGTTGCTTGGGAGCTGTTAGGACGAAGTTGGGTCAGCTGTGAATGGGTCTGTAACGGTTAGAAGTGAAGAGATGGCTATTTATACTCTTAGTACAAATCTAACCGTTCAGATCTACGTCGGAAGTTCCGACGCAGATCTCGGGACTTCCGACGTTAACAGAAAGCACTGTTCACACAGGGTCAGAAGTCCGTGCGTACAAGTCAATATCGGAACTCCCGACAAACGTCGGGACTTCCGACGGTCGGAACTTCCGACGTACGTCGGGACTTTCGACGTGCGCAGTTAGACAACCAGCATAGCCCCAGGTGTCGGGACTCCCGACATGGGTCGGGACTTCCAACGGACACAGACGGCCAGCCAGTAGAACCACAGGTGTCGGTACTTCCACCTTGGGTCGGGACTTCCGACGTCCACAGTCACTGCGCAGGCTAAGTGACTAGGAGTCAGAACTTCCGGCATGAGTTATGACTTTCGACGGTCGGGAGTTCCGACTTACGTCGGGACTTCCGACACGGACAGTCACAGAAAAATAATCTACGTGCTCATGGAGTGCTAGAGTGTCTCTTTTAATTTTATTTTTATGCTTGAGCACTCTATCTTTCTCAGACCAACTAAGTTTGCATCCCTCTTTATAGTGCGGCGGATCCTAAACTTAAAAACAAAAATAAAACCTTTGAAGAGCGTTTTGAGTTCGTCCGCCTTTACAACTTCAAGAATTGAGGGATACTATTTCATCTTTATCAACTCTTTGAATCTTTCATGGGACTAATAGCTGCGACATATCTCATTAAGATCATATTAGTCCCTAATTTGGATGTCATCAATACACCAAAACCCACATAGGGGGCAAATGCACTTTCACCGGTAACCGGCCGGCGCCCGGTGGTGCCATGGTGGGCTCTCTGTGCGACTGCCGCCTACTGATGCCGATTTTTTGTCGATTGGGAAGGGTGAGTCGAAGCAGGCGGGTGCGAGCGCTAGAGGCGCCGTCGTGGACGGGCAGAGGGCATCGCTCCTGGTTGGCTGGTTCCCTCCGTGAGTCCGCTTCTTGGGCTAGCAGGCCGCCCAGCTGGATGGTGGATGGGAGGAGGCAAGAAACGTGGCCTTTTAACTCTTAATTGAGTCAAATATACATAGTTTAGTCTACTCATATGTATAACACATGTATATGCATAGTACCTGTAATTTTTTTCTCAAACTTATTGGTTGTACAGATGTACACCCATGTCCACATACTGCGTCCGCCCATCGTGACCAGGTTCGACCTCTGCCGTTGATCGCGTGATCAACGCTTGGAACAAGTAATTAATTCCACGAATAAAGACTGAAAATGTTGCAAACGCCGATTAAATCCAGGTAACTAAGAATTTGTTTTGTTTGGAGATAATCTATAGATTGCATGATCTCGTCCCTAATTTTTGGGATAGATTATGTTTTCTGTTCGGGTGTGGGTGACTCGTTTATGTGGGACAGGGCTGTCCTCGGTTTTAACCGAATATTCCCTACATGGATGACCTAGTTCTCATGGTCGCAACACTAACACCCTGAAGTCACAAAAACACACACACACACCCCAAACACCCTGAAGACAGGACGGACCCATCCCATCCCCATTTATCCTCTAAACCAAATACACCATTAGTAAACAAACAAACACTTAAATTTACAGTGACACGCCAACCACAAAACAACAGGAGACACTCTCATGATCATGATATCTTTATGCGTTCATTCAGGTACAAACTACGAAAATGGCAGCGGCACGTGTGGTTTCTCCAACCAGCACGGCCAGCAACCGCGAAACTTGTAGGTTCTGTACATGCTCGACAGAAAAGAAACGGTTTTTGTCTCCTGATGTTGGGGTGTACATTCATCATATCTCAACATTGGGTGAGTATTACACTGCAGAAAAGGCAGGAGAAATCTACTGCTGACCTCGACCAGTTGCCTTGGACAATGGAAAATCCTCAGAGCAGTAGTTCTGCTGCATCGCAAAAGACACCACAAAGATGTATGGAAGGGATGGCTGAAAACTTGGTCTTCTCCCGCAAGCTTGAATGCTGCCGGCAATGACTCAGGTGTCGCCAACTCGCCATGGCCTGATGGACGAGCAGTGGCTTCCCCTACTGGGAAGCTGAAGGTTATGTCGGGCAATTGGTGATGCGATGGCATCGCGAAGCAGCTCCATGCCAACATATATTGGCTTCATTGTCACACTACTGACAGTGGTAGATCGTCACCATTATTGGGGATGCGCTTTTGTGCAGCCTTCACGGCAGCCACCCTGGCTGCATTGGCTGCTTTATTAGCTGCTGCAACAGCCCTGTTCACCTTATCATCTACTCTTGGGATGCCATAGGCCTTCTCTGCAGCTCTTCTCGCTTCCTGCATAGTCAACATGATCAGGAATGAACAAATGCAGTCATTCCATATTTCATACAAGTCTGGCAACTAATGGGATCATCAAACGCATTACCTGCACTGCATTGAGGACCTTGGAATGGTTCACAGCAATAGGTGATGAAGGGATAAAGTTCTGGGTGCTTAAAGTATCAAGAACTCCATTTTGCCAGTGCCCAGCTTGCGTCTCTCCATTCCTGAAACTATACATGCCTAAACCCTGTCTTCTACCCTCATGCCATGCTCCCTCATATCTATGGCCATTGGCAAAGCTGTAGATTCCAAAGCCGTGCATCCTATCAGCGAAGTACTCTCCAGCATAGGTGTCACCATTCCTAACAGAAGTTCACAAAACATTAGTCAAAGCTCCTAATAGTTGTGAATTTATATAACCTATATGCAACAGCATGTAACAAATATGACTGGACCCGGCCAAACAAGAATGAAGGCATGATTGTAACATATGGCACCTCCAACTATACAAGATTTCTGACTTTTAGCTACAATTATGTCAATATTATAGCAGCACAAAGGGTGTCTCCAGTTTCTGTTGTCATTAATTAAAGCAGAAGGGCATAAAAAAAAATTAAAGCAGAAGCTGAATTCATAGTGAAAAGAATGAAGTATGAAGAACTAATAAAGGAAAAATGAATCAAGATAAACAACAACAACAAGGCCCTATAGTCCCAAGAAAGTTGGGGCAGCCTATCAGGAGTTTAAAAGCAGAAGCTCCTTGAACTGGAAGGAGTAAATACAATAAAACTTAGAAACATCATGTATGATTTAGTATACTACTTCTTCCGTCCCAAAAATAAGTGTCACTATGGTATTCACGCCGGTCAAACTTTCTTAAGTTTGACTAGGTTTGTAGAAAATATTAGCAATGGTTGTATCTCCAAATTAGTTTATTATAAAAATAAATTCAACGATCTATCTAATGATACTAATCATGTACTATAAATATTAATACTTTTTTATATACATTTGGTCAAAATTAAAGCGTTTGACTCCTTGGTTAGAGAAAACGACACTTATTTTGGGATGGAGGGAGTACTTCACAACAGATATCAAAACTGAAAATACAATTATTTTAGCAGCCTTTTAATTGAATATGTAGAGTAAAATAAATATAAAATTGTCATCTTTAGATGTAGCCAATCCACAGGTCCAAACAAAATATGACCTCCAAGTCCAAAGATGCCAGGATGCAATCATTAATACCCATACCCAATCAGACAACAAGATAATATAACAATGAGAATATAAATTCCAACACATGTCTGCATTTCAATGCTGAGAGAACAATATGGACAGGAAGTGACAAAAAAGGGTCTCAACAATGTGGCCAGGCCCTAACTACATGGGTTCAGAAACTGTATTTAACTGATAAAAGAGAATGCAGAACTACAATAAACCACATAGCACGGATAAAGTTCAGAAATGACAAGTTATCAGTGTTTATTACAGGTACATGACACCAAAGACACCTTGCGTAAGAGAAGCTGAAAACATGGAATTTTATCCTTTTTGAGGAAAGGAAAGATTTCTATTAGTTGATTCACGATCTTACATGAGAAACTAAGCGCTAAGCACATAGTTGTATGCATATAAAAGGTTCATACTTGCATTGTAAACTCTTCTTATACATAATTGGCAGATTGATATCAGCACAAAGAGCTAATAGCAGAATATGCTTTCAGATTCACTGCAAATAGAGAATGACAAAACTCAAATTGGCTTTTATGTAACCAGCCATCTCATAACTCCTTGAAAACAGCCATCTAATCAATGTATTTTGCTTTAGTCAAAGGTAGCGGCCTATTCAACAGAAAGCAACAAAAGAACAAACTGCCGCAACTAATGCATGACCTTAATGGGTGGAAAACCATCTACAGATGAGTTGATAGTGTAATATTTCCTGCGTTCCAAATTATAATTCACTTTTCCTTTGTCCTAAGTCAAATTTCACTAACTTTGACCAAATGTATAGAAAAATACATCAACGTTTACAACATCAAATTGGATTCATTAAGTTCTTCATGAAATATGTTATGAAAGTGCATTTATTTGAACTTGTACATGCTAATATATTTTTCTAAAACTTGGTCGAAGGTAGAGAAGTTTAAATTAGAACAAGGCCAAAGTGAACTATAATTTGGAAGGAAGTGAAAGTACATAGTACCAGCCTAATATCACAACATTAATAACAATTTGTGGGTTATTATCTTGATATAAAGAACTACACTAGAGATCTGTTCAGAATGTGCAAATGTTAAAGGATTAGGATGTAACGCGCTGAAAATAGCTATGAGATTACACAGTTTAATTGAGCAATCATATATATCACCAAATGCATCAGCCTAATTCAAAGCAGCAAACTAACACTTCACAGAAGATGCCTATCTGTATAGCAAATGATCATTTATTAGCACAGCAGTAAGTTGCACATAACTCAACTTCACAACAATCAAAAAATCTTGAGCAGCATAGGAAATGCACGTTTCAGTTTCACACCTGAAATGGTAGTGGCCGAGGCCATGCTTGACGCCCCTCTTGAACTCCCCAATATACCGGCTACCGTCCTCACAGGTGTGCACGCCACACCCATGGCTCTGGCCGTTTGACCACTCCCCGGCATACACATCCCCAGTGTAGAACCTGTACACGCCGTAGCCATGTCTGAGTCCCTGCCGGTACTGGCCCCGGTACCGACTACCTCTGGCCCAGGTCTCGACGCCGAAGCCGTCGTACTTGCCGTCGACCCAATCCCCCTCGTACCTCCCGCTCATGTAGTAGTAGTAGATGCCGCTGCCAGTGCAGCGGCCGCGGTGGAACTGGCCCTCGTAGACGTCGCCGTTGCTATAAACCTGGACGAAATGGCCGGTGGTGGGGGTGGTCGCGGATGCGGACGGCGAGGAACCGATGGACCAAAGGATGGGGGATCGGCGCGCGCGGCGGAGGGGGAGCGGGAGCGGGAGCGCGAAGGGAAGCCGTGGCAGGGAGAGGCAGAGGAGAAGGAGGAGCGCGCAGGAGAGAGCCGCAGCGGAAAGGAAGTCGGCGAGGAGGGAGCGCGGGAGGATGGCGGGGGTCGGGGAGAGGAAGTAGAGGGAGGGGAGCGAGATGAGGAGGAGGATGCGCAGGCGGAGGTGCAGGCAGCGAAGGAGATGCCTGGCCGCCGCGGCCCCCGCAGGAGCAGCAGCGGGCGCGGGGACCTTGCGCCTCCGCGGCGGGGTGAAGGGCGACGGCGAGGGGCGGGTGGGGGTGGACGAGGAGGAGGAGGAGGTCATGACGACGGGGCGCTTGTGCGGGGTGGAGGGCAGCGCGTGGTGCGGGCTTGACGGGATGTGGATGCGGAGGGAGGACGGATCGAGGACCGGCAGGGGCGGCGGAGGGTCTGTCGCCGGGGCCGCCAACTCCGGCGCGGCCGCGGGGTGGTGGTGGTGGTGATGCATCTAATTGGAAGTCGGGTTCGGGGTTGGTCGAGCCTGAAGGGGGTGGTGGCCGGCGGAGGAGAGAGACATGGGACGATGGGCGAGGCGAGGCGAGGCGGACATGGGCGGGGAGAGGAGCGTGATGATGCCGTGATGGTGGGGGCGGCCCGCCTACGCTTTTTCTTTTCCCTTTTCCTGCACCGATTTTTACGGGTCTTCTACCCTCTCTTCTCGCTGTATATTCTTTCACATTTTATTTATTTCTTCATTTCTTGTTTGGAAAATGCTAACCAAACTGATAGCTTAAAGATTCATCTAAACCTACAAACTGATTTCTTAGACTACATCACTCGTACGGAAAATAAAAGATTGAACGTTGAAATCTCAATCTGAAAAACAAATAGGAGTAGAATTACTTGTCCGGTTCGCTTGAGGTTATTCAGAACTATTTTTTAATTATGGAATAGTATTTTTTTCTTACAATATTTTAGTATAAGTTTTAGCATATTTCATGCATAAGTTAATGTTTCTTCTATGTCAAAAGTAGTTACTACACAGTTAAAATATCCTCGACGAAAAGTTTCTCAGTCTAGTTTTACGTCTTGTTTAGTTGGACCACAAAGTTCAGTTCACGATGTGATGTTTGCGCTCTGGAGCATTAAATGTCAAAAGTAGTTACTACACAGTTAAAATATCCTCGACGGAAAGTTTCTCAGTCTAGTTTTAATTGTACTAGCTCTAACTATTGACTGTTCTACTAATCTGAACATAATAAATGAGAGAGCAACACAATCATGTGTCGTGTGATTTTTGGTCAAAATGCGTAAGGGAAACATTTCTATTTCGGGACATGTTAACCCTTAAGTCTAAAGGCGTGGTGCAATATTGACCGAATCGACATTGAATAGAACCATCGATGCACTTCGTCAACCATATGGATATCAATGGCTAGTACTGCTTAAGATGTAAACAAATTTGCAAGGCAGATCACGGAAACTAATTGCCTGTTCGGTTGGCTGGTTCGTATCGTTGTTGGTTCGTTTATGTGAGAGAGAAATCTTCTTTGGTGATTCAGTGAAACAATACTCATATGAGGGGGCCGATTGACCACCAAATTTCACCAAATTTCAACGATCATGCTGGAAGCTGCTCGCACTACTTTCTCCATCCTAAAATATAGCATATTCATTTGTCCTAAGTCATTTCGCCTCATGTTTGACTAAGATTGTAGAGAAACATATTAACTTCTGTCATATCAAAAAGATAAGTTATAAAAATATATTACATGGTGTTTCTAATGGAGCTTATATGGTTTAAAAATATTATTGTTTTTTTTCTATAAATTTAGTTAAACTTAAGATGAGTTAACTTAGGACAAATAAAAATACATATATTTCATGACAGAGTGAATACTTTGCTAGCAACAATTAACAAATCTCATCTTTGCCCTTGCGCTAGTAGCTGATGCTGTATTTAGTTTTGCCAAACTGCCCTTTGCGTACTACTTCCTATGTCTCAGAAAAGGATGCAATTTTAGTTTGACACTAGTCACCTTTCTCGATTTTGACCTATTTTATAGTATAGGGAAAAAATGTCAATACTTATCTTCAAATAGTTTTACTATAAAAATATATTTCATAACACTATAATAATATTTATTTGATATAAAAATGTTACTACTTTTTCATATAGAGATAGTTAAATTTGTTAGACTCCTCATGAAATTTGAATTATATTGTATTTTAGGGCGGATGGAATACTTATACATCCTACTTACGACGCACGCAGGCCCGGTCCTGTCAATTTATAGATCTGGAGCGAAGCTTGAGAGATGGGCCCTTTATTATAATTATAATAATATGCATAAAAATTATATCCATCTCTATTTTTTCACTTCTATATAATTGTGTGCCTTTTGTCAACACGAGTACACTGGAAATTTAGAAATACTAGATTCAGTTTAACGTTAAAATAAAAATGAGTGTTAGTAAATTACCAAGTATTTTTTTTTGCGAGAGACAAGTGGAGAACAGGGATAATAATTATTCACTGTCCTGCACCGTTAGGAATTCACCAATCCCAAATTAGATCTGAGTCTTATATTCTGAAAAATAACGACAGAGGGCAAAGGCAATTAGGCAAATTAAACATTGATTAAACAATCAACAAAGGGGCTTAGGGAACAGGGGCAATTGGGCACGGCACTTTGGGCCAGTTCGCTGGTCTGGTTTTCAGACCAGCCGGCTGGTTCCTCCTCACAGGGGTACTGTTCATCATCAACCAACCGCTATAGTATTACTCTCTCACACAACCAGCCGCTACAGTGTTTTGGCTTCTTTTTTCAGACAAACGAACGGAGCCTTTACCTGAACACGTATGGACACAAGGACGTCTCGTATAGTCGTAGTGTCGTACTCGCTTGGCTGGGAACGGAGTTATGGAGCGAGCAAGCGGAGTAGCCAGTGCGCACGGCCGATCGGCGACGGTGACGCCGGACGGTAGACGCGAAGGCGCCACGATAAAACCACGAAGGAGAGCGGCTACGACGGAAGGAAAATCGATGAACTCTTTCTTACGCGTCTGGTATTTCCTATGGGCCATATATATATATTCTATTGAACCAGAGTATTACCAACTAGCTTACATACTTGAGATTGGGCCCCTAGACTTCGAGGGCCCTGTGCGTGGGCACAGCTCGAACCCCTCAGGGCCGGGCCTGGACGCACGCAACGCAAATGGTCCTCAACGCCTCTAACAACCTTGCTATCCTGTGCCAACGTTTTCATATAATCCAATGACAAGTTGCAATAATTGAGAATGCTTATCTGAAATGGCATGTTGTAGAACACTTCAGAAAAACGTGAGTGAAGCACAATTGTATCACATCATGTATGCTTGTCAAACATCTAAAGTTTCTTTTTGCAAGTTTTTCTTTAAAGAAAAACAAAATGGACAAACTGATATGACCATTAGCGCTACCCGATCAAACACTGTTCACTGTCATATACGAACTCAAAGACAAAATAAAAATAAACAAGAAAGACCGAAAAAAAAAGGGGAACGGGAGGTCGTCCTCATCTGCACAGACCCCTGAAAAGTGGGGTCCCGGAAGCCCCTGTTTGAGGTATCGCTTCGTTTGCTTGAGCGATCATTCGCAAGCATTTCTCCTGGGAAACGATAATATTCTTCGTCGCGCCGCTGGGTGTGTATTTCTGTTGTTCATACAAATTCGTATGAAAATTACGCGTCATCGCGTGAAGCGTAATAAGGAAGAAAAGCGCGACGGGCTCGATCTGGCTGTATGTGTCGACAGGGACGCCGGGAAGAAAATTCGCCGTGCGTCTGAATGTCTGATGGGCGCCGCGCGGTGCTGCGTCGTCGATTCCATCGGCGGGCGTGCTTATCCGCGGACCGCGGGGCCTTGACGCTGACATAGTCTGACGTGTACTAGTAGTAATAGTTTAGGTAGTGTTTGTGTTGCCCCTCCTAAATTTTAGTATTATCCATAGAATGTTTAGACACGTGCATAAAATATTAAATATAGACTAATTATGAAACTAATTGCGTATTTTGTGACTAATTTGCGAGATGAATCTTTTAAGTCTAATTAGTTCATGATTTGATAATATGGTGCTACATTAACCATATGCTAATTACGGGTTAATTAGGCTTAAAAAAATTCGTCTCATGGGGTACTGACGGATTATGTAATTTATTTATTTTATTAGTATCTAAACACTCCATGCAGCATCCTCCCGACACACCTCCTAAATTTTAGTCACTGAATCCAAACACCACCTTACCTTAGTGAACCATGGTATCAAATCCGGGTTCCAGAATAGAGTAATATACTACTGCATAATTAGGAGTTGCCAACCAAAATAACTCTGACAGCAACGTGTGCCGGCAGATTTGACTCGGTATTTAGTCCCTAATTAGCATCCAAATATTTAAAGTGATAGGAACTATACTTTAATCCCGGATCCAAAGACCCCTTGTTCTGCAGAAAATCAATACAGAAGCTGCACAAGCTGACCACTTTTGCCTTGTTCTGTAGTATGAACAATATTTTTCTCCCACAACAAATCAGCATAAGCAACAGCATAAGCCAAATTTTAGCGAAAATAACTAGCCTTTTTGTTAACCCACTGTGCCAATACAAGCCATGACAACATGAAAGAGAGCATGCTGTGCCTCTAATCCTTGGGTACTCACGCACGCAGCCGAGTCGTATAGCCTGAATGTTTGATCACGTGTATAGGAGTGTTCAGAAACGGAAATGAGAAATCCGACGTAAGTCGAGTTCAGGTGCGTTGAACACGCACGCACACCTATCTTGCAGATTGCAGTTGCAGCCGGTGGGTGGTTAGTAGGGTTCATCCCGCCTGATCGCGTTTAGGCAGCCCGGTCGCGGTCGGCAACTCGGCATCCGCAGGACAACGACGTTGCTCGCTCTTTCGGTCAGTATCCGTCGGCGAACAGCAGCGCCGTGGGCTCATGGAGATCATGCCAGCGTCCACCGGCTCCAGTGAAGCCATCAACACGAATTTGCAGGTACCCGGATGGTACCATGGTAGTGCAGTGTTCAACGTCCTGGGCACAGGTGTGTGCCTGAGCTACTTTTCAGCCATGAAACAATATTTTCCTCTCACGACATTTTAACATAAACATCAACATAAATCAAATTTCAACCTAAGCCAACAGGCTGAAAATACATCCGACGACGAGCCTCCAGCGACTATAAACAGTGTGGTCACAGCTTTTCCCGGTGCGTAGAAACCGTACCCATATTGGACATGAACACAAGGGCGGCAAAGATTTCGTGTAAAATGACCTGAAACCATGCATGTTGACATACATTGATCGAGTAAGAGAGAACCTAGGTTACACAGCAGTGATATCAGAAAACAGATACAAATTTCACAACAGTTTACAGCGAGACCCAAGCTCGCGAATTCGTACATCAATAGGCCACAATATTTGAAGGCCACGGTGCTCTCCCTAAAACCTAGGTGAAAGGGTGCTTCTGCTAAGAGTACAACTCTGTCATGAAGGCTTGTGAAGCTTGAAGCCGAAAACTCTTGGAGTGTATTGCTGCGATGGCTTCTGCGGCTTCAAGTGCGGATAAGTCATCAGGAAAAGATGAGGGAATGTCGTCCCAAAGTATGATCCATCAATGTCTGGGTAAAGTAAAGGACATGCAATCACAACTTAAAAAAATCCATCTATGATTATAAAAGAGTTTGCTGACGAAAAAGCATGGCTGGAGGCAAGTAATAAGGGGGAAAATGTTCAGTGTGGTTCACCAGGCGGCTGGCATGGAGATCAGAGAAAACATATATAATGTTGTAAAAGAAATATATGTCAATAGTTTTAAAGGGTGGTAGATGTAAATGGAAGTATGGAAATATCATACAAAATAATTCAAAAAAAAAACAGATCAAAAGGATACTGCCTTGGTACTTGGATCTTGGATAATTAAGTTCCTCACATTTTGGACAATATATCTTCACTGTGCTCGATCTAGGAATATCTGATTGCCCTGCTGGAAGACAGGGCTGGCCACAGCAGTACACTCTGGGGCATCTACCAAAGTCATAGTTCTTGAACTTCTCCAACTGCGGCAAACGAAACCAGAATAGTTCAATGTCAAAGGGAGATAAGAGGAGCAAAACATGTCTTGATTCTAATTAGACCATAACATAGATTAGATTACCATTGCAGCTAGACCCTTGCTGGTTAAGATGTATCGTGCATGAATTAATCCATACAACATCTCTGCAGACGACTCGATTAATTCGTTTTGCTCCTCAGTGAACACATCACCTGTACAGAAATGGTCCTGTCTCATGAGTGCAACAGTACGATTAATCTAGACCTATTAGCTGATTTCAGTTGACGGGATTGATTAAGAGATTTATCGCCATAAATAATGAATGCACAAAAAGATAAGTGGATTGAAAATAAGTTACAGACCATAAATTCAGAAAAGGCAAACCAATATGCATTAACTTCCTTAAGGAAAACAATCTCACCATTAGAAGACTCAATGTCTAAGATGAGATCAAGTGCATAATCATAATATGGGACCTGATTACTCAGACCACACAGGTTAAAATCATCCTGTATGTAGTCTTCATCGATCTCACAAAAGAATTCATTGCCTCGCAATGTACAGAACCATGAAATCCAGGATGTGTCCTCTCCCTCAGAACCACTGACATCAGAATCTTCACTGTCAGTTTCAAATTCCTCTGCAAACCAAAATAGAAAAAAAAAAGTTACTGGATGCCTAGTGATGCAAAATCAAATATGCTCATAATCACAGCTACTCTGGATAAGAACAAACAACCATGAGCAAAATAGAGACAAATACTACAAAAAAAACTTTTAAACCATGCTCTAAAAAAACTAGAACTAGGTGGCATTTTATTAAGAAGAAAATAAGCACCCAAATTCAGATCCATGAGGACTTCAACTGGGTGGTCTAGGCATACATCCACACCCTCAACCAACTGATCTAGCTCAGCTTCCTCATGCTCTAACAAACAAATGTATATCGTTTACATTTTAATATCAATCCACAAAACAAAAAACAAAGCATACAACAGCATATATAAACCATAAATAATTCTTTTTTTTTATCATGTCTTCAGGATTTGTGGAGTGGTATCAAGTTAATCCTAAAGTTTTAGTCAAAGGTGCAGTCATATCCTGCATTAAGGCACGGCGGTGCGCACCATTACCAGAGATTAGCAGAACAACAGTAAAAAAGAGATGAAAAATCCAGCAGACTAAATTCAAACTACATCTGGGGCAGAACAACGACTGGGTTGCAGCTCCCACTTCCTCCAGTCTGACAAAAAGTGGTCATTGTGTACATAACTTCTCTTGTTTAAATGGTTAAGATGCTGCTTTAATGGTATGTTGTTATAGGCCTTCGTTAGCCAATGCTTCTTTTGTCTACAATGTGAACATAACCAATCCACAATCTGTGTAATAGAATTCATCCTTTTCTTCTAACCCAGCCTGTTCAGCCATTCAGAAAGTTCATGGTTCCACACTAGATATATCTGAAGGCCAGCAAAGAGTGAAAAATGAACCGAACAGAACGACATCACCTTTGTTTGGCCAGTGCCTCAGTAGTACTGGTCCCATGTGTTCGACTCAGAGAGCGAAAAAAATGTGACTATGCGTTCAGTTTGTTGGTCAGATCCACATGTACCAGCATTGATCCAACAAAAATTAACATGCATCAAAGAGAGAATCAGCAAAATGCTTCCCACACCATAAGGCGCCGAAACAGATGCCACGTCACTAGATTCAGTTCCTGGTGCCTCCCATCCTATTAACTTTCATTTCGTTCATCAGATCATACTTCTCCCCTTATCATCTAGAAAAACCTTTTTTATTCTCATTTCGACCTTCTTTATTAAGGATCAGTATACCGCTAGTTCTTTTTTTTCCATGGCCAACAGAGCACCCCATAACGAAGGATGATCCAATACAAGTACACAACCTCATGCTGCAGGAAGTGCTTTGTTGCTACCAATACCATACTAAGGAGACTCACTCACAGATAACAGAAACCTGAGAATTACACTGACCCAGCTGAAAGGTACTCCCTGCGTTCCAAATTGTAAGTTGTTCTGGCTTTTCTAGATACATAGCTTTGACTATGTATCTAGACATAATTTATATTTAGGTGTGCAATACCTAGATACGTACATAGAAAAGCCAGAACAACTTGGCAGTTTGAAACGGAGGGAGTAGTACCAAGCAGAAGAAATAATCACATATTCTTCAGCAAACAAGATACTATACTATCACTCCGTCCGGTCAGAAGTTGACGCTCCAGACATCATGGTAGAACTAATTGCAAGTCAGTGGTTGTCCAAAAGACCAAAACATCTACTAAATCCAGCCAGAGATAGTATCATAGTTGTTAAAATCGCAATCCTATGGTGCGGCTTTATGACTTTACGATATTAGTTTATCAGGTTGATTCTACGATTCCATTAAGGCCCCGTTTGGATCCTTGGAATTGAATTCAGTCTAATAAATTATAATTTAGGCACATATTAATTAAGCTAATATGGTTGTATATGGAATATATTTGTATACTGTTGTTAGCTATGCAAAGGAGATGCTTATATGTTGCATTTCTACTATAGGGAAGCGAGTTGAAGAACGTGCTATAAGTTGCAGATTAGAAACATAGCATGGTGATCTATTGAATCGATTTCCATCTCCCACCCTATGAATTTGAGATAGGCTTATATGTGAACTTTGGAAAGTTGCAGAATCTCAAATTCCAAGCCAAATAGCCTAATCCATTAGGTAGATTCCAATTCCTCCAAAATGAAGGGATCCAAACGGCCCCAAGTAGAGAATCTACGATTTTACGATTCTAGCACTTATGATCCTAGGATTTGCGATCCTACCATTGGAGTTTCGATCCCATTCTGGATCATGATTTTAACAACCTTGGACAGTATTAAAGAACGAAAACACAAAGCATTCATTTTCTGATTCTGTGTGATAAATGGTTTGTAGCATTTGATCCATCTCATCCTTAAAGCAATCCAAGTCATTTCCAACTACCAATGTTACACTTCAATTTGTTTCTTCATTGTAGGTTTTCAGAGATACCCCAGCTTCTGAACCCCACTACGAGCAAACCGCTCATAAACTCTTTAGTCTTTGGCTTTTTGCTCATTTTTACTAGTTTCCTAGTTTATATTGCTTAAAACAACACTTGTTGCAAAAGAACCAGCATACAAACGGAAAACACGCCATCTTCCGATTCAGGCAAGGAAGTGAGCTTCTCATTCCAAGGGGGCATAAAAACGGAAGCCACGAAATCTAATCACAGCACACTAAATTTCAAGTTTTCAACATAAGATTCTGCACGAAAAAAGACAGAAAAGTCGCACCTTTCAAACCAAGCCTGCATTGCGGCAGTTCATCATACACAGTGACGAAGGTAATCAAAATATGTAAAGAATAACGATGGTTCGCGAAAGGTCTAGCTCTTACCACCATCAGACACCTTCTCCGCCTTGCCAAGCGACGCCGGCAGCTTCCCGGCAGCGAGGCGCTCCCTCTCCTTGGGCACGACGCCCCTGGAGGTGGACGGCGACGACCTCTCCAGGTGCTTCTCGAGCGCGTCCTTGACGCGCTTCCGGTCCATCCCTGCGCCGCCGCCGCAGCCACCAAACAACCCCTATCCACGTAAGTTGCCGCTGGTTTCTCTCCCCCGATCCTTGCGCGACAGCTCGAGTTATCCGCTGCCGAGAGCCTCGCAGAACGGCGCTTGCGGGCTAGGGTTTGCGCTGGCTGCGCAGGCGGGGGAAGCGAGATGGAGAGAGAGAGAGCGAGAGAAGGAGAGGGATCGGAGAGGTGACAAGGCGCAGGGCAAGAGGGGGAGGGAGCGCCCGTGGGCTTGCCGCTTGCGTGAGGTGGGTGGCTGAAATTCGGACAGGTGCCGGGGGTTTCCCGCAAAAAAGGACACCCCATCTCCCCAGATATTTTACTCCGAGTGCGCGTACCTCGGTGTCGGTGTTAGTCCTAGGGCCCAAATGAGCCAGCTTTAACCTAAGTACCTCTCTCAATAAATTAATTTCTAGCTTAAATTAAATTTAGTTCAAAATCTGTGACACCAAATTAGAACATTAAATATATATTGTAAATATTGTTCTATAATATGCTCATTTGAAATCATAAATGTTGATACTTTTTTCTATATTCAGTTAAACATAAAAATTGATTAAGACAACTTTAGAAGTTAATTAATTCACGACTGACTAAATACCACGTGGAGAGAAAGCTAAAGCTTTTGAGATGGCGACAAGAAAAAAAACTAAACTCTTTGCTCGTTCCAATATATGTCTATCTCTATTAGTAGGAGAAAGAATATATTAATAAAGAACATTATATATGTGGGACATGCAGGATGAAATGATATCTAGAGTTGATATTTGACTTTCATTATCGGAGATACCCTAACATGTAGGCAAAATTATATTTCCTCTCAGTAGTTTAAATATATATACTGGTGAAGAAGGAAACTATTTAGTATTTGTTTCTATGACATCAATTAAGAAATTATAGCTACAAAACCTTTTCAATTACATTTATCATCTAATTATCTTCTTCTCCGCTCTATTATTCTGTCTTTGTATCTGCGATGTCCATTCCAACGAATTTTATCTAGTTTCTTAACTTTCAGTTTTTGTGCAAGACTTAGTTTCTTGATGAGACTAGTTTTCTTGTAATTTTTATCACCCTTCTTTTTAATATTATTGCCATATCAACAAAAATTTATATGTACCGTATTGTTATGAGAAAAAAATCCTAATCACCCTTAGACAAAACTATTAAATTCTGACACAAGAATTACCGGCCATACTCCAATAAATAATCATGCACGTACATCTCAAGCTGACTAAGTTATCTGACCATTAATCAAAAAGTATAAGAAACGTATGAGCTAGAATGACACGACTCAAGGCAGCAATTTTCATGGCGCCCATTACCTTGCATAATTTGTAGCAAAAAGTCACATTCTTGCTTCCCCCGCTGTGTTCCAGTCACGTCCATCAGAACATTGCTCCATATCAGCATAACAGAAACTAGACGATTTGAGTTGGCAGTGGGCAAACTTACAGAGCGTTTGGTTTGGCGAACCAACTCAGTCTATACGAGGTGATGTATCATAAGTTTAATTCTCAAATTTAGTTAAATAATTTCATTCTTCATACTATTATCATGATAGAATAAGATGGTGATAGATTATTTCATTTCATTCATGAAACAAAATGAAAAAGTGAAGAATAAGACAATGATGGAGTACCTTATTCCATAAACCAAATGTCTTTAACAGAATATTATCGTAGTCATTTAATCCTCGTCAAAGGGACGAAAGGCCACATCAAGAGCTCTGTAGGAATTTGTTGGCCTGGTATTCCCCGTCACCATGGATGTCCCTCACTTTACACCTCTAATTGAATGGTGGTTACGGTGCATTTGCAAATTTGGCATGGCTTCTCTTTCAAATACTTATCTGAAAGAGTCAAAGCCAGAGCCATAGGGAGATGTAGCTCCTCCGGACATAAAAAATGGCTCCTTCTACTAGGGTGGCTGGTATGGCTCCTCCAACTTTTCTGCTAGAGTGGAGTCGTGCCAAACAAGTCTCTAGTGGTGAGAAATTAAGATAGAAATTTGACTTGGTCTCAGTTTCTTGTTTGGTTCGTGGAAGAAAATAAAAGGTGGTTGAAGAAGGAATTCATATCCTCTTGTTTGGTGTGGGTGTTTTTGAGTGAGAAATTATATGTTAGGTTATGATAAATGATAATATTTATATATTATTAAAGCACAACCACCCAATTACTACTCTTCCCCTAGGGAAGTCAGTCACTGGATGTTAGCCCTCTAAAGTCACATTCCTTTTTCTACTAAAATTCCCAGTCCCATGAAACAAAAAAAATATATTTGTAAACTACTACCTACCACTACTACACTCAGATCTTTCACAGCCGCGTTGTAATCCCCATCACAGTCCAATTTTGGCCGCGATAGTAAGCTGTCGACAGTGATAGTCATAGCCATCACCGTCGTCAACTAAGACCGATTGCGGTGTACACTACACCACCGTATTGGCTTATCATCCGTCCGTGATAAGGTCCTTACTTCCGTCACATTGAAGCACGACCTGGCTGTGGGTATACACTAACACCGATACATTGGCAAATTATCCGCCTGTGTCGAGGCTATCAAAACCGTCATGTGGGCACATCAACCGCTTATGTAGTGGTTATCAACACCGTCGTCCAGTACTTCAACCCGACTATCTGCGGTGCAGGTTCGTTATCCCTTCAACGGCCGAGATGTCTGTGTAGAGGTTAACACCACCGTCGCTTCAGCATATGAACCGCCAGTACAAAGGTCATGGTCACCGTCGCCTTGCACCACGATCCGCCTTTGATGATTGTTTAGCCGGTGTCGGGTTACTAAACAATTCGGCGGTGATGTACTTTTGATCCCTGCCACATCATACGTATAGCGACGGTGTTGGACGTTTGCACCACCACCGGCGGTGGTGATAAGAAAACAACGTACATCGCTTACATCCGATGGTGACAGGGTTTCATCCGGTTTCACAATAGTTACTAATACAACTGGGCTCTTAATAGGTTCATGGACACAAAGCATACAGATATATAATCATTGCATCCAGAAATCATGTTCACAAATAATAGTACTTTTTACAATAACAATAGACGCTACCATAACATCTTCCTCAACTAATGTTCTAATACAAGTGGTACATAGAGCATACTAAAGGTACTGATCTATACAGACTTATATAACAAAACGACATAGCTGTGCTCCTTCTATGTGGCACTCCTGCTTGCAAGGTAAAATGAATATAATTAGTGCATCCTTCGAATTGGTAGCCAATACACCATGGAACCCCTCTTCTTTATCTCTGATCCACAACCTAAATAAAGCAACATAATTAATAATATTGAACATACCATTCCTTTAGTTAATAAGCCAAAATTGACCTATACATACATAGAATGAAAATAACTCCCTACCTGAATAAAGACTGTTGTGACGATGAAATACAGCAAATGCACCTTTACTGCTCTGCTAATGACTCCATGAACCAGGGAATATAAGGAAGATAGTAAAGCCTGTTCATATGGAAACGCCCTCTTGATCTACAAAAGCGGATGACACTGGCATTGATGACATGAACATTTCTACGGTCCATGTCATATGCAATCAGTGTTCTATCCTTCCCAACAAGAAAAATGAAATTCTATTCTAGGTGAACTGTAATCACTCTGTACTCCTCATCACAAAGCTCAGAACCAACTTTAATATTCATGTGTCCAAACAATTCTTCCGTGTCCACAACATGCTTCAATCTTCAGTTATCAGTACCATAGTCTTCAAGTATCCACACTAAAAGCCAAGACATATTATGAAAATCAGCACAACACACACACACGTGACCCTGAGCTTGATGGATGGATATTTCAGCACTACGTGGTTTACGAATTATCCTCCATGTCTTTCCCTCCATATCCACAGCAACTATAGCAGAGTACTCAAGCATGTGCATAAAACCATTAAGAAAAACACTTCTCGATTTTGAACATAGAAAAATATCCTCATCCCATTCAGATTCCTTAAAGATCCATGCTACAGTTTTAGATGAGTAGATCTCCACACCTACGCACGCACCCTCCACCTCAACAAATTCAATTAGATGGAAGTGTGAGGACGTTGGGTCAAAACCTAAGCGAGCTTGACCAACAAAACGGATGCTACGAGGCAGTACATGCCATTTATGGGTCACCGGATTGCAGACAACATAACGCTGTAATCCATCAGGCCCAGCACACCAGTAAACGATGAGGCCACTGCAACAATCTGAGACTAGGACTTTTTGAAAGGGGAAAGACAAGAAGGACAAGGAGGGCGATGCTGGTGAAGTGTCGATTGCCCTTCCACCAATTGCCATAGAAGAAGCCGATGATAGTCTATGAAAGCTTCTTACGGTGATAGGAGTTGGGGATGACACGCTTCTAGGAGCGACAGACACACTTACAACAGCACAAGGACAAGGTGGGGAGGTAGCGGGAGATGTTGGCAAGCACATTGTCTGAGAGCCTGTCCACTGTGTTTCTCTTGTTGGGGGCCTCCTTCATCTGGAAGGACACCACTAGCCAAAGAGATGAGGCCTCTCTGTAGTGAAATTGCATCAATAAACATTAGTAAGGAGATGAGTTTTGAGGAGAAGGGACGGCGATGCAAGTAAGGCCTTATTACACTTGCCTTTGGATCTAGCGGCAGTGAGCATGAGTGGCAACGCTAGTGACAGCAGCAGCTCGTTCACCGGTGGATCTGTGCGGGCAAGCCAGCGATGTGCACCGGTGTGGAGCAAGAGCTGAGCAGTGATGATGAGCAAGAGCGGCGATGACAAATAGCAGCAATGAGGACAAGAACGCTATGTGTGTGTGGGGGGGGGGGGGGGGGGCGGGGGGGGTGGGATGTTGGGGTAGGGGTTGCTTGCTCTCTGCGTAACTTTTATGACACGCGAGAATCAAACTTTCATCAATTCCGTGTAGGAGGGTTCAAATGCAGGATTGGAAATTTTGTAACTAAGCGGCAGTGAAT